GCGCTGGAGCTGGGCTGTGTGCTCAGCGCTTGATCATGTTCTTCCTGGTGACCCCTAGTCATCCGACTTGGGTTTAAATGTCACCAATTTTCAGATGACAACATTGAGCTGTTAGGACTTGTCTAAGGAAGGTCAGAAAACTACTTAAGCGTTACTTTTCTCTCTCTCTGTTTTCTGTTTTTCTTCTTTTCTTTTCCTTCTTTGGTTTCTTTTTTTTAATTACTACAGTTGTGCCTTTGTTTTGCAGGGGAAGGAGAGAACTTGTATTTCTTTCATCTAAGTATACTTTAAAACATGATCATTGTGGAAACTCAGAAAAGTGCAGGGATTAAAACCAAACACTCAAAATCTCACCACCCAGAGATAAGTACTGATAATATTTTGACATACATAGTATTATATTTTGCACATATTAGTATCATTTTCTTTCCACTAAAGAAAGATGTACTGATTTACAACATAATAAAAATTTCTTCGAAAAATTAATAAATTATGATTGAGAATATACTACCCTTTAGAATAGCATTACTTACTAAAAAGTACCTCATGGTATGATACATAATTATTTCCTACCTTTTATTCATCATATTCAACAGAAATGATATCTTGGCAAACTTCTTTCTACCCAGTTCCCTACACTAGAACCGCATACGTTGATTGTGCCTTTGATGACAATGGTTGGAGAATATTCTTCCTACAAGGCACACGTGTTACTGAGTAGGGGAGGAACTCAACTCTCTGAGTGGATACTTCTGGCAGCCCTACCCCATCCCTCAATAGCCTGCTCCTGCCACCCTGAGGCCTATGGTTACCAAGTCTTTAAAACCTTGGGATTGTGTCTTTGATACTTGCAGAGAGGTCTCCATTAAGTTGGGTGAATCTGCACCAAGGAGATGGGGCTAGAGTGGACTCCTGTGTGGGTGGCAGGAGAAGATGGAATTTTCTGGGGTAGGGGGTGAACTCTGTGTTCTGGGGGTGATGGGTAAACAGAGGCAGCCCTTCCTCCCCCTGAAAGCCTACCCCCATGGAATTCCCCACATTCCTGCAGGAACATTGCTCAGTGTTTTAAGGCCAGGCCCTAGAGGTCAATACCAGGCCTGTCAACACATTCTCCCAAACCTGGGATTTCAGGTCTGTTTTACCCAGCCAATCTCCACCCAGATATTACTCATCATTTTTTGCCTTTTATCCACTGTCTCTTTTATTCCTCTCTTCCCCTCCCTTCCTTATTGTCTCTCTATATTTCCCTCATACTAGCTAGTTGTTGAGCACTCAGTCCTGCAGCTGTCAGAAAATCTGAAAATGTAGGTGAATATTGATAACGTCTGCAAGGACAACATGGACTGTGAAAACTCAAAACTTCACCCTCTGAGTTCCAGACTATGGACCCACTAGATTTCTTCAGCCTCAGTCCCTGCCTTCATCCAATCTGGGGTGCTTGCCCCTTGTCACCAGGCAGTGGGCTGGGCATGAAGACTGAGTCAGGAGGGTGGTGCACCTTCTGTCCTCCAACTGCTTACAGGGTCTGGTCTCCCCAAACCCGCAGGCAGCATGTTGGTCTCTGTTCCAGCCGTTCCCCCTGCAGCCTCTCTCCTAAAGTCCTCACTGGGTGGAAGGTGACTTGGAACCTCGGCTGGGTCCTCACTCATGGGCCCAGCATGGTGTTGCCCTCTCACCCTCACTGTTCCCAGGACTCTGGGGCCTGGTGAATAATGCCGGCATTTGCACTCCCATGGCACCCAATGAGTGGCTGACCAAACAGGACTTCGTAAAGATGCTCGACGTGAACCTGTTGGGGATGATTGAGGTGACCCTGAGTCTGCTGCCCCTAGTGAGGAAGGCGAGGGGCCGTGTGGTCAACGTCTCCAGCGTCATGGGTCGCGTGTCCCTCTTTGGTGGAGGCTACTGCATGTCCAAATACGGCGTGGAGGCTTTCTCAGACTCCCTCAGGTAATGGCCTGGAATGGAGGCCCTTCCTCTGTCCTCCTGCTTCTATGCCTTCTATAGGGGTTTTCTTTCTTTAGAGACCTAATGGCCCTTCCTTCTAGATCCCTCTCCCTTGCTCTGTGTAGGTCTTTCACTGGGAAGCACCCTTTTATCTTTTGGGTGTTCAGGTGGGTGTGAGGCCCAATATGATTCAACATATTCCTGCCTTGCGTGAGGGTCCACAGTCACCAAAGTGTCGGAGGCAGAATTAGACCTGATATTATTTGTCTGTGCAGCCCTTCCATGTGCTCAAATGCTGCAGTATTTAGGTTTTGGGAGCCCTGTGGGGAGTGTACCCCATGAAGCCATTTATCCAGGGAGCTACTTAATCATGTCTGTGGGAGAGACTCCACGGGCTGCAGGGAGAGGGTGGCTCTGATGTGGGGGATCTGATACCGTGGGCAGAGAGATGCTCCCTAGAGGACAGGTGGCCAGGGGGTTAGCAGGGTAGGAGAGGGGAGAGAGGGGACTGGGGAGTATGGGAACAATAAAACGTGCAAAGTGTGGTGATTGATTGGAGGTGAGAGGAATAGGAGGAGATAACATTTAAAGGATGCCTTGTAGCACAACTGGTAGGATTTAGAGCTGTTAGGCACAGGTATGTAAAGTAATTGGAAAAATATTCACACTCTATACAGAAGCAATACCATCACCCTGAGTTTTCTCCCCCTGGCTTCTGTACCTCACAACCTCTGAGAAATTCCAGCGTATCCCACCCCGATCCTATGTTGGTGTCTTACTGCTCTTTCATATTTTGTTTTGCAAGAGGACCTCTGAAGTCTTTGCCCCTCTGCCTGTCTCCCTTGCAGGAGGGAGCTCTCCTACTTCGGAGTGAAGGTGGCGATGATTGAGCCTGGTTACTTCATGACCAATATGACCAGCCCTGAGGTGTTTAATGGAAGCCTCCAGGCATCATGGGATCAGGCCAGCCCAGAGATCAAGGAACTCTATGGAGAGAAGTTCGTGGCTGACTGTGAGTGAGACCTTGGGGAGAGAAGCAAACCCTTGTCTGGTAGCCTGGGTCCATCATTAGCACCTCCTCCAGTCTCAGGTCCATCCTCCAGGCTGAGTCCCCCACATAGTGGGGACTTGAACTCCATCCCCAGGGTCCTGTGTGGTCAATTGGTGACCCAAGGAAAGGATTCAGGCTTCATAGACCTGGGGACCAGTTTCTCTTCCGAAACTCTTTTAATTTGGGAAGGAAACTGAAGCCAGAGAGGGAAGACACACGTGGAATCACGGTAAGCTGGTGTTAGAACCAGCTTTTTTCAGGTGCCTCAGTTTCTAGTGTTTGCAAAGACCTCCAGTTTATGTAGTGCACATATTCCCAGGAATAGATCCAGAGGGGGCTTGGTGTGGATAGAGATCCTGGGGTAAGTGTTAGGACACACTCCAATGAAATCCGTGGATTTGATTTGGAGTATGATTTTGGAAGAGAAAGGACTTTTTAGAAACTGTCATGTTGATCTGAAAGTGGGAGCATTGGGAAATGAGAATATTTTGGATGGTGTCTCCTTCTGGACAGTCATGAAGACATCTAATTTATTGAAGCCATCATGGTCCGGGAATCTGTCCTTGATGACCAACTGCATGGAGCATGCCCTGACCTCCTGCCACCCCCGCACCCGGTACTCCGCTGGCTGGGACGCCAAGTTCTTCTACCTCCCCGTGAGCTACATGCCCACCTTCCTGGTGGACCTCATGATGTACTGGGGTGCCCCACGGCCTGCTAAGGCCCTGTAACCCAAGACTGGGATGCATGGTGGGGGGAGCTGGGGACAGTGTGGGGAGGGGATGCATCAGAGAGAGGGAAATAGAGTGGCGAAAGGGGTTCTCATGTCACCGGGGACACCCATCCCACCTCAGTCCCCAGGCTTCTCTTGAGACATTACTTAGTTCTCTGGGGATATTATGAAGAAAGGAACAAGTCTTATGGCTGAGGAACAGGGCTCATTATCTCACATCTGTGTCCTGTTCCTTGAATGGCCTCTCAGTGCCTTATGACCCACATGCAGCTGTGAAAAACCCGCACTTTGGGGAGGGTGTGAGCAGCTGGGAGTTTTCAGTCCCCCCTGCTCTGCCTCTGTCCATCTGTTCAGATGTATCTTTCCCATGTCCAGTCTCCCTCTCCCCCAGCATAGAAATGGACAGGGGAGACAAAGGCCCCTCTTGCCTGAAGGTATGTGTTGACAGTGGAGGGTGACTACCAGCCTGACTCATGAACCTAGTTGCCAACTCAGTAGACCTTGGCTGGAATGCGATCCTGTCAGAGAACAAAGAAACCGGGTTTTGCTCTATCTTGGAAACAAGAATTTCCATTGATTATTTTTTCCTAAAAATTATAGTTGAAAAGTTCACCTGCTTGAATGCATGCTAGAGCTTCATGCTTAATCTGAAGACTCCTGTTTTTCAAATTATTATTTATACACGTAAACACTCACATACACACACAGACACCGAGCCAGTCACACCAAACAAACTGAAATCAAATAAAGTATCATTGATTCACTTTATGCCTTGGGGGTATGTGTTCAGGAGGTTTGGACTCAGCCCCAGGAATTCTCTCCAGAATGTCAGAGAGCTTGTGAGATTGCAAAGCCCTGGTCCTCCTTGCTGGTCTTACAGGGGGGTGCAGGGCTGCACTGAGATGGGTTCCATGGCCCACAGTGTGGACTGTGACACAAGGACCCCTATTTAGACAAGGCGGAGCAACAAAAGCACTGAAAAAACAAGTGCAATGCACACCATCCCACGTCCTTACCCTAGACCTTCCGTAGATCCCTATTCCTCCTCCTTCCAGGCTGCCTTTCTTAGGGAGGGAACCAGGTCTGGTCTGATGGACGTGTGAAGGGGCTGGAACCCATGCCATGAGGGTCCATGCGGCTGTCACAAGGAAGTTTCCCTAATCCTCCCCTTGGCTGTCCCGGTGGTTTTTGACAAAGGATCAGTGATTCCCCACTGAAAATCTCATCTCCTCCAAGTATCAGATATTCAGCGCCTGAAGGCGGGATTTGTCTCTCCATTTTGGGAGCTCACTCCAGTAGGGGGACTGCATACCTGTAGGGCTGGAAAAGAGCTTGCACAATTAGCCCTCACTCCTGGCACCTTCTAGCCCCCTTTGGTTACCTACGCCTCTCCCCACTTCAGGGGACCCAACCTGAGATGAGAAGAGGGGATGGTGTGGGACACCCTGTCTTTGACAGTGGTCCTACTGAGACTGGGCAGAGCGACACCTGGTGGTGGCAGCCCCTGCTCCAGCACAAGCAGGTTCACAAGTGCGGCCTCAGAATCTGGGCCAGCTGCAACTCCCTGGACCATAGATGCAGAGATCTTTGTCAGTGAGTATCCCTGACAGGGTCGCCTCTGAAAGATTTGTTCTTCTGGCCCCCGCAGCTCCCAGGTGAGTGAGTGTCACCCCAGGCTCCTTTCACTTACTGCTCTCTCCTGACCTTCCTGTGGCTGTTCCCACCTGGAATGTAGTCTGAAACAGCTGAGACCCCCGCGAGCAGTCATATTACTTTCAGGGTTCACAAGAGGGAAGCAGATGGCATGAGGGCTGGGACGTGTCTGCTGCATGGCCCTTTGGGAGTTTATGGTTGAAGGAATTTTTGGTCACTGAGAAAAAAAAATCTGTTTCTTCCAAGTAAAGAAACCACGACCTTCTCCCTTAGCAGGGTT